TTTTTAAAATAAATTTAAAATTAAGATTTTACACCCCAAAAGCTCATGATAGGACAATAAAAGCTGTTTTGAATGCCACATTCTTTTACCCCACATTCTTATCATATAAATACTTAATTCTACATGTATGCAAAAAGTACATTATTTGTTTCGTTATGATTATAAGCATTTTTATATCTCTTATATTTGTTTACTTTGCTTTCTATCTGCATGGTCTTGTTTTGCATTTTTCACTATATCGTCATAAATATCCCTGGAATATATATCTCCTTCAACTGGCAATCTCTACTAAAACTTCCTAAGTCTACAATAACTGCGATAGGTAATTAAAAACATGCACTTGTGTTACGAGACTATTGCAAATCTCGAATGACACTGCGATTATTATTAGATGTTTCTCTTACCACGCTGACTCCCTCAACATATAATAAGTAAAATACAAGTGTACACACAGTGTGTGGAAAATTTTATTTTAACAATGATTACAAATAATTTTAATTTATCCTATGAAATTTTCAATCGCTTATTATGAGTTGCACATCGTTCAATCGCTAGTAGTTGATCTCTTATCTTTTTTATCTATCCAGCTAAAAGTTTTCTTTTTTAATTGATAGAGACATCTTTAATCGCGGATATTTTTAATCTGTAGAAACAACTCCATGCGTTCGCACATCTTGTCAACGGCCTCTTTGCAAAAGGCATTGGGAAATCCAAGTCCAGGAACGTACAAAAAGAAGGATTCAAAGCGTAGAAGCTCGCGAAAGAGTGATTCCGCCACAGTGACAAAAACCGATCAACCGACCAGCCAGTGGTATACCACAACCGAAATATCCCACAGCTCAATTCAGGCAACATCGTCTGTTACGTCGTTAATATCTAATTTACATTCAACACATGTATTTGAGCTTCGACAAGAGGTAAAGACTTTATGAACTTATTATTGCCTTGTTGCACGCGACTTTAAAGTAAATATAATTAGAACGCGCTTCTTCGCACACAGCTCACACCAAAACGTCCTCTGAGATCGGAAGCGGAGAAAGAAAGGAGAATGAGTAATCGTTGGTCCGGCCAATCTCACTATCTAAGGAACATCAACAACGGACTGGAATCAAGCGGTTTAGGGAAGGGAAATAGAGATAGCGTCGGCACAACTGACAGTACAGCATCCGAGGACGACCCGCCACCTCCTCTACCGATTAAAATGCGCGAAGCCGATTATTGTAATCTTCCAGAGGAGCTGTCTAATAATCGGTGTGCGGCTACTTTGAATAATCTCAACAAGTCTTCGGGACAGTTGAAGAACAAGTTGCCGACACCTACCGACGACGATGTAGACAGTCATTCTAAACCGCCCACACCTCCACCGAAACCGAAAAGACCGATTCACAATTTGAATAAGAACACGCTTGCCTCTAACGACGTCGAAAACTCACCTGTCGAGGATTCGTCGACTGCATAATGTAACGTATAAAACTCTGCAGACGCCTCACGTTGTCCACCTTGCCGAATGTTGTGAACAAAAAGCGTCCATCCACGTTTGCAAAAGCGTTCTCCATTGATTTTTGTATCGTTGATCTTTAGAAGAGTTACCATTCATTAGTGTTAGTTCTAATATATTTCTTTGTGCCTTTCTTTCGCGGTTTAGGATAAGCGAATAAGTATACGTTGATATAAAACAAAATTCTTACCAAGTGTACTCTGTGCAACAGAAGGTATTGCTTTATCTATACTGAACGAGCAATGTTATTGACAAGGAAATCCAAAAATTAATATGGATTTAAAACACAATATTTTACAACTGATAGCGCACATATGTGACAAGGACTATAACGCCGTCATAATCTGATACTACAGCAATTTATCATATTTCTATTCTTATATATATATATATAGCGAAACTTTGTGCTATATTCAGGAAAATTCAAGATTTTTATAATATTATCGGTAAAAAAGATATTAAAGTGAAGAGATCTTGTGTTTATGTAAGGATGAAAATTGTAAAATTCGCTTTTAACAATCAGTCACTCTAAATAAGCACATTATCGAACATTTTAATATCGCTTCATTGCAATTCACAATGCTTGCTGTAATATCCATTACAATGCGTAGCAGCATACTATAGTAACGTCCATTCTTTCGATCAAAGACTTCATTTCAATATGACTTTGGACATATATATTCGTGGAAAATATATATATTTTTTATAAATTTTGATATAAAACGTATACACACATACATAGCTTTAATTGTAATAAAAACTTTAGAAACTTTTACATTTTATACTAACCATTTTTGAACGGATTTGCTATCAAATATAATACGCATTAAATATAATGAGAACCGTTAAACGTTTTGCAATCTGTTTGTTACAATATTTTAATTTATTTCACAAATTCAATTTTTATAACCTAATTATCAGAGTAGTTATAATTTAATCGCGAAATATAGTTATTTAAATATTACCAAGAGCCATTGTGATCTAGTGGTAAAACAATTTATATGTGTTAATGATTATATAAGTCATTCATATTTGTTAACAGCGAGACTGTAGTCTTATATGTTAACTTATTTTTAAAAATAACAAGAAGATATTGAGAGATTGTTTACAAGTATATTCAACAAGAATAAGTATGCAGCAAATGATAATGCATATGCTTTTGCATATTTGTTTCATCCAAATGAATAATGTACTTGTAATGATTACATGGTCATAATACAGTCATATGATACCATGACAAACTACTTCCTAATTAAGCACAAGAATCAGAGTAAAAGTTCAAGTTGATTACAAGGAGCTATAATCTGTAATCTTATAACCATGAAGACTTTATAATTAATCAGGATACCAATTTTGCATTGTCTTAGTTACGGCACGTTCTAAAACGTATATATCTTATCTATCAGATAAGATATATACGGCTAAACTTATCTATCAGAAATAGCCGTTCATAATGTTAATTACAAATTATTTATTATGTTTTTCATCATTATTGAGTCTCATGCCAAAGAGATTAGTGCTTTATTTATTAAAAATGTTAGAGCATTATATGTATTGCTGAAGAAAAGTAGCATCGTAATATATTGATATTTATACCTAATGCACGAAGATAAAGAAGATAAGCTACAAAATAGAGAGCTTAATAGTTTATTCATTACTTATGATAATTAATGTAACAAAGATCTGTATTCAAAGTTATTGTTCTTACGTTGATTCAATTCGTTTACTCGTTTGCGGAGTAAATCTCCGGAAAAAGAAACAAATACATATATGTTTGTACAGCCATATGTTTGAACAGAACAGTTATGGATACAGTTCTTAGCTTTGACACCAATTTTGTTATGTAATCGAAAATTGACAATATATTGAGCCTAAAAATTAAGAAATTTAATATAGTACCATTTGCTTTCCTAATTATATAATTATATAATTAATTACGTTTTACTTAAGGATTAACGTGCCGTCTTTGTATCTAAACTGAAACAATCTTTCTGTTTTATTCTTACATAGGATATATTATATTGCAACATTTTCATACAAATCAATATTTTTATTTAATATACTTCAATTAATTTATTTAACTACATTTACATCGACAGACATTAATTATAAACAAGTGCCATTCAAAATATTAAATCCATACACACTATATAATACATTTCTCCCATATGAGCTAAACGATAACAAATATATATACATGCTATATAACAAATCAATTTTATTTATAAAAGACGAAATAATTTTATATAATCCCAAAACTCCTTACTTTTTAATATATAAGCAATATAGTTACATCTCTTATATTATTACTGACTAATTATTTGCTATAAAAATATATTTTATACGTTTCTTATAAAAGAAATTTTACAGTGACATTAGAAATAGAGCATGTGATGATATTTAGAAATTTAATTTTACGAAACAATGGATTTATGCATGTTTTATAATTAGTACATTATGATGTTACGATAAAGATGGATTCGGAAAATAAACCGAGTTACAATTTACCTTCCCCACGCAAAAATTGTATCATCTAATTAACATCGTTAATTTATTGCATTTAGTTAACATTAATCCTTTTTATTTCTTTCTCAAGAATTCTTGGAAAATAGGGGTTCAAAATAAGTTCAATATTCTTTTATCGTCAAATATCAAATTTTCATCTTTCATAAAAAATGTATTAACTATAAATTTAATATATTTAATTGTTTAATTATAATAGGAATTAGGCCAAATTATACAAAATATATAATAAATATTATGAATCTATAATAGATGTCACCTTCATTTAAATAAATAATAAATAACATCTATTATTAACTTACTAACCGTTATTACAATAATGCCATCAATAGTGAAATAGCACTTATTTTAAACCTGCTATTTAACTTTGGTTGGAAGTGTGAGAAAATACATCTCTTCATACTCGGATATTTTTCTCTTTCGTTCTCTTTCTTAGCATATTCTTTTTGAATTAGGTTCACAGATACATTAATATGTACGCGCGTGTGTTATTTATATATTAAATTCATGACCGTATATTATATTGACATGCATTGCAATATAGAGCGCTAAAAAAGTTCACATTCTATGTATGTAAAATATAAAAGTAGAAAATATATATATCGAGATGCTAGCTCAGTTTTAATAGAAAAATAACATAATGCAATCATGTACACAGTATTCTTAAAAGACAGGTAATCTGGAGTGCTACGTTGCCATACTGCTAAGCCTTCTTCAGAAAAATGAATAAATATTTTTTTTTCTCTTCCTTTAAATACAGTAAAAACTACAACAATTTTCTCTTGCTATTCTCAGTGATAAAGAGGAAATTAATGCTTCGTCTAATTTGTTTGACTGTTCAATTGTCTAATAATTCTATAGTACGTACGAATAATCGAAAAGTTCTCGATGCTACATACACTCACATGCAAAAAAGTATCACACGCTTTAGCATAATTACACCATCCACATATAAATAATAAATTCGTAATGCCTTTGCAATCATCGAACTTTCTATTAAAAACTAGCAAATATTATATTTGCACTTTAAATGAAAACTCTCTCAAGGCATAAGCCATTCGGCATATAAATTTAAAAATGACATTAAGAATTTGTATAATTGCAAATGTACAATATTATGTTACCTCGCAGAGTGCCAATTACTCATATGTAGAAATTTGTCAAAAAAGTGCAAACTGTCATATTTGCGAAAATATTTACATCTAAAATTTAATAATGCAGACTAATGGGACACATAGATTTTTCCTTTATGATATATACGGAAACAATATGTGACAGAAGGGCCAATTGAATGAAATGATTTTGTTTAAACAAACAAATATCACGCAAGATGCATATTATGAAGTCATGACTAGAAATGATATTACTATTTATTCGGCTTTCAATCGTTTACTGAATTCTTCTTGCTGCTTTTCCCTCCATTCCTTTTTCGGCTTCATCCTCTTCAGTTGGCCATCCCTACCATTCACGGAATAAATATATAATTTTTATTTATCATATGCAATTCCTATTTTCTACAAGACTTTAAACGATTATCGTACATACCATTGTAGATCGACAAGACCACCTTGCCGCGCTATTACAGATTTCACTCGATTCGCAAAATCGATGGCACTCTCTCCTTCCTTCATGTACATTGGAGGGAGATACCACACGTCGCAGACTATAGCCCAGCTGGACATCATCATATATAAATATTGTAACATCGAATATCGACTGCTGTTCCAAAACGCGTCTCCGAATCTTGGATCGTACTATATATTTAAACAAAAATATACATGAAAGACACTTTTAAAAAGATGTTATACAAAGATGTACATTAGAGATATTGATAAAAAATTACTTTTATAGCCACAGGATAAATAACGCTGCCCACTTCGAAACTGCCTTTCTTGAATTGCATAACTGACGTATTATTGATACACGTACCCTCCGGAAATATGAGTATAGGTGGGTTTGTCGGATCTGATACGTGTTTCTTTAACCTGCACGAAACGTATTATGCATTAACAACAACATCCTGTAAGAATGAAATGGGCAGGACAGGAAAACGTAATTGCGTTCAAGTAATCGCACCTTTTCGCAACTGCTTCTCTGTCCTTGACCTCAGAGCGTTCAAACCATATATGTGGAGAGGCACGGGCAAGAGCTCTTTGTAATATTCCTAAGAAACCGCCATGCCTCTGACCTATCTATAATAAGAAATGCAAGTAAGGTAATCTGGCCAGCATTTAAAAATTATGTATCTTCCAAAAGTCGTACACTTCCTTCGAATTACAGATGCTGAAGACTGGCAATTATTCAATTCTATCATTAATTATAATCGTTGAAAAATATAGAAAAATAAAATTTTTCTTAAATAATCAAGATAGACTTGTTTTAATATAAATTTTATTTTAATATAGAGATCTCTAGCTCAATTTTCATATATCTAATATTGTACATTATGAAATTATAATATAGATCTCTCTCTCTCTCTCATGCAATTTTTGTGAAGAAAAATCAACGTTAGATTTACCAAATCTGTAGCCGCTGAGAAAAGTACGATTTTTGGAACATTTTAATAGAGCGATTATGAAAGCAACAAAATTATTAACAATAATGAGATGCAAGCATGTTTACGTAGTTACAGAATAACATTATTTTCAAGATATTCGAAAAAATGGTATGGGTAGGTTTTGCAAAGCAAAAAAAAATTGCGCAAAAAAGCAGCTATGAAAAAGATATCCATATCCATGAGCGGCGTATCAGAAACATACCAATGAATAACAGTTATCACACATAAGTACGAGTACGTCAATAGGAGATGTGTGATTAGCTACACATATGCCTCTGACAGGTCGATTCTCTGGATTGTTGTAGGTGATGACTGAAGACAGAGCACTGGATAAGACAGCAAAGCACATTATGGAGACTTTGTAGTTGAGCCATCGCTTGAAGCTACCCTCGGGAACGTAGCCCACTACTGCGGTACACACTGTCAGCCACATCACCTGTAAACCACAAGCTTTGCACCTGAGAAACGTGGGATTCCCTCTCTATCGCGTTGCTGAGTAGGTACTACCTGTAAACCAAAGTTACAGGACACGTTACCTGTAACATTTACCAGTAATGCGCAACAACTTCTGTAACACTAGTAACAAATTTCTGACTTTCGGCCATGTATGAAAGCAAACTGATTTTTTGTTGTTATATGAAGGAACTATTAAGCCCCTTGCACAATGCTAGGCAACAGGCAATAGGAACAGGGAATAGAAATCAGAAATCATGTATAAATGCAGAATAAACAGTGACACAGGCAATAGACACAGAGTTTCCATCACGTTGGAAATTCTGTGCCTATTGCCTGTTGCCAACCAATCATAGCACTCGAATTTTTTAGGTTGTAATTAACGATTTTTTGGTTATTTCCTGTTCCTATTGCCTGTTGCCTGGCATTGTGCAACGGGCTTTATACCTTTGTATCCAGTGTTATCGTGATTAAAAAAACCGTATACTATGTGTCTGTTTCATACAGTTTGAGTAATACGGATTGTATAATATGTACATGTGTCAGAATAACGAATATTTTATATATGAATATATACAAAATATTTATATCTAAGTAATTCATAATATTTACATATAAATCATATATTCATAATGAATATTTTAAATATGATTTATATGTAAATAATTTGTATGTACCATAACTTCGTTCCTGCATCATTCCCAAATGCGATGAAATAGAAAACTACAGACAATACAAAGCTATTGACAAATAGAAGACATGTTTGCTATGAAATAATGATGCGACATTTAAAATCTTTCAGCTTATAAATATATTGTTCCACCCACGACATATTACCAAAGAAAATGTCGTTTGCGTGGATAAAATGCAGACGTCGAGAGTGGTTGTATGATTCGACACGCACATCCCTCCGTTCTTAGGTTTGTACTCTGGATTGTGGATCGTGATCATGCCCGAGATAGAACGGGACATAATCCTGAATGCAATAAGGGAGCCCTGGTTGTTCGCCCAACGTTTTATACGGCCATTCGGCAAAAAGCCGATTAAAAATGTTACGACTACGAGATATAGTACCTAAGAAGCTTTGATATTAGTACGTATACAGTTTTAAATTTACATTTGACGCGTACATCTTAATAAATTTAATATAACTTTACAGTGCCGTAAATCTAAAATATGCGTTCAAAAATGCGAAAAGATTACAAATTGCATCTTTTTATAGAAGATTAATATTCGCTATTTAAATCTGACTACTTGAAGACAATTAATTTGATATCGCTAAATAAGATCTCAGCGAAAAAAATTATCGATTGTCGCAATATTAGTCGCTTATTATATATTCAGTGTTACTGTGATATATTAGCTATAGAGCATAATATAAATATCAAACTTACGCCTATGAAACAGATAAATATCCTTAGGGGTAGCAGGAAACAGTAGCGCATGACGAATCCGAACATCCATATGAAAGTTAACTTCCAGGATATAAACTCGTACTGTCTATTCGTTCGAGTTAATAAATTCCAATTCTATAAGATGCATCGATAATTATATCCAAATATGTTAATTTTCATTATGCAAATATCAATATAATTATTATATACAGTCGATAAAATAATTATTACATTATTCACCTTAAGTTCTTCAGCTTCAAAACGTGAAGTCACCTCGTCTTCTATAATAGCCTCGACGCCCGCTCTGATGTAATCCAAACAACTTCCCGGCGCAAATCCAGCTTTTAACGTTTCAAGGGGATTTTTGTGATTGAGAGTATCCTGAAATGGCAGAATTAATTGAAAAAAAATATAATATATTTTTATTAAGCTTGACTAACAGTATCCTCTTCTAAAAATATAATACATTTTAAATATTTTTCTCTAAATTTACCTCTTTGTCGTCAATGATTGATGATTCATGATTGTTCTTGAGGCTCGATTCGTCAATCTGATTCTTGTAATTATGCATTTCTGGCTCGGGAACCAAGATTAAGTCCTTCGACCTGGCTATCACAGAATTGCTCACATTTCCGTTTTGCATTTTAGGCGACGTTACTGTTGAATCTTTCTCCGTGATCGTTGGCGACTCCTCTTCTATAAGATCTTCATCTGGATCCCGAGTACCGTTTCTCTTCCTCACACTTTCTATGTTTTGTCGACCATACTGTAACACAAACGTAGTCAATCATAAAATGTATCACGTCAATTATTTGCGTCTTTCACTCGAGTTTGTGGTCTCTCTGTAGACAATTATAATTTTTATGGTCCTTAATACAAACAACTTCTTTTATGACTGTTTTTAGAATCTTAAAGCTTTCATTCTTAGATTCTTTAAGCGAGCTGTTAAAAAAAACATACCGTTTTTACTAAAAATTTCTTTAAAAATCTGGTTTAGTTGCGAACAGATGAATTTATTAAACCAAATATTATTTTTGATGAAAAAGTTTATACTATTTTAAAGATCATTGATAATAAAAAATGTTTTGTGAGCTTTTGTGGAGATAGATGCAGCAACAATTATATCTGAAAAAAAAGAGTCGATCTAATTGTTTCAATAATAAAATACCGAAATGCTCAATTTTAAAATAGAATTTTAAAACATTAGCATTAATTGCCTAAGTATAATAATCTAGCTTATTTTATCTATTTTTATTAAGATAATAGAATTCACTTTCAATTTAAATACCTGAAGTGTTTCTCGCGACCATATTGTGTAAACACGCAGGACAAATAAATTATATTGAGGAGAGTTCCAGTTCGATCAAGCAAAATGATATTTTATGTACTTTTAGATATCTTTTTATTAATTTAGAAATAGTTACAATTTATTCTTTATATACTTTTAGAATTATTATTTGCAATGTAGATGCATTTGATTATTACGCAATCTGCGATTTCAATTCAAGGAGAGAGAGAGAGAGAGAGAGGGAGAGGGAGAGAGAGAAGAATAAAACAAGGAAAATTTGTCCCACAAATTGCGTAATACGAAAATACTTCGTTATTGTGGGAGATAATAAAAAACAGATACACGCGATGTTAATTCATGTATGTGTGTTCAAGAACGGCATACGTCATTGAAAATAGGCATCCTTTGGCCCACAAGAACGTAATCTCCGAAATGCCGATATAGGCTGCAATCTGGTATATATTCAGTACTAAAAATATATATATTTTTCTATATTTTACGTTACGTATACTATATATTTTCAATACTGACAGTTGCTGACAGTAATGATTACTCTCAACAAGAGGGACCTTGATCCTCGTTCATCGATCGATAATGGCAAGATAACACTTAGCAACTTCAGCGGATTATGAACTATGACGTGTTACAGGGACAAAATCCAAAAAAGTGATTCAATGCGTGAACATCGCGTGTACAAAGTGATGATCGACGATCTCTAACGAGTGACGATCAATATTTTGTGAATTACCGTGATCGATCGCAGTGTCTTATCTTCAACGTGACATAAGTATTTTGATATCATCAATTAAAGATTAATCAAGTTTGACCAATTAACGGTCAATAACCATATTAAAGTGTTTTCCAAATATTCGCGATACTGCACGATATAATAATTGAATGTATTACACATTTTCACTCAACGAAATGTAACGTTTGTCCAAGCTCGTATCTTTGTTAAAGAGATAACAAAAATAACAAAAATAACATTTTTGTCCAGAATTACAAGTTTATTTATGCAGCTGTTAAAATTAAGGTCAAACAAAGATAGATTTATTTTGAAAAATGAGTTCGTTTTTTTATTATACATTTGATATAACTTTTGTTGAGATGACGTGCTACCGCATTACCACAATTATCTGTTGCGAGTGTATTCAAGTGCATTAATTAGTTTCCGCCGACGCAAACACGTCAAGTCACTCTTGTTGTTCATCGTACTAACACTTATTCAGTGCGTCTGCACCAGGTAAATTAATAAGACAAGCAAGTCTTTAAATATAGGACAGCTAATATTTTTTGCTGTGAGAGCTAATTAATTTAGCAATAGTAGCAAAACCTTTTGTTGCAATAGCAAAAAGTTTTGCTGAACTTTATTATTCCTTTCTTTCCGTGGTTGCATTGAGAGTTATTGAAAATTATTTGAGCTAAATTGAACAAATCAGAATTGTAGAAATTATTAATCGTGACTGTTGAAACATCGTTTGTAAAAAAAGCATTTTCGAATATTCCTGCATTTCTGTTAATTTGTATTATGAATTTTATATATCGGTAGATTTGTTAGAATATAAAATTTCATGTTAGTTGAAATTCAAATGATGTTATACTAGTGAAATATGCAATGACCTCCGATTTAAAATGTGGATTGATTTTAGCTATATTTTTAGGACTTGACCCATTATCGACGAGTACAATTTTGCATGTGAATGTTAACGGATACGTCTCTCTCGGTTGAAGACGTCGAATACTTTTCTGCGTGAATTACTATGACACTCTGCATTATTAGTACGATACCGAACTTGACAAGTCAACATAGCACAAGTGCAACATGTTTATCTGTAAGGGGAGACGCAAAGACTATCTCTGTCTCTCTCATAATCAGACCAATTATGAAGATTACAAAAGTGGTAAAATGATGGCTAACAAAACCATTAACGAGGTCATTTTATCACTATTTTATTACTATTGTGTTATATGTAAAGAATTAATTAACACATATAGATTAATTAATTTAAAATAAAAATTTAAAGACACCTAAAAAGAAATTTAAAAAACTTAAATTTGTTTCTCTCGAAATCTCGATGTTCTATCACACATTTTCGTATTCAAAAAATAAAACAAACAAAATTTTAGAGAATAAAATTCACGAGAGAAAGAGAAAGGCAGAAAAAGAGAGAGAAAATGTTGATTTAATCTAATATTTTTCGTAAATCATTTATGAATTAAAATTAAATATTACGGCATTACGTATCTCATAGTTCTATTTTCAAATGTCCTTCCTTTTATTTTTAACATACATCGTCTCAATTAATATTTTACAGTTTATCTTTCGATAAACTCGGATGTGATCCGTGTAATACCTAATGACAAAGCTCCGGATACGTATGTGAATGCAAGAAAAAGAATAAGATAAAGCAAGAGACGCTGTTTACCCAAATTATCTCAATTTCCAAGCGATTGGATTATCCTATCAATTTTTCGTAACAAAATATCTTTAAAGTGGTTGTAATGTTTCACCCTTGGTATCAAAAAGTGACAATGAAATTTCAGTCACGTTCGACAGATCAGAACGTTGCAAGTTGCAAGCAATAGGCGATCAATAATATTTTACGTTAAAAACTAATTACGTGAACACTTTTTTTACTTTATTTAAGTATCGCTAAAGGTAAGGTAAGGTCGCGAGATACAAGTGAAAAAGCGCATACACCTGTTATATACTAATAATTGAAAATCTTCGTGCATGTGTTCTTTCCGTAAAGATAATCTTGTATATGTACGTATACAAAAATTGTATTGTAGTGTTAGATAAAGTTTTCAGATAAAATAATTATATAACACAAACAAGATATTTTTACGGTGGTTAACATGAAATCACATGTTGCTCATTCACTTTTCACGTTAAGACTTAAGGCATCAACAATCACGTTGACATCTCGCGTTTCACATAACAAATCGCCGCTGTACATACGCAACATATATATGATAATGAATGCTAAATGAGAATCGCGTCAGCGATACACAGTTTGGAAATGAACGGCGTAGTTAGAAAAGAGCTTTGTACACACCGTTTTAAAAGACAAAGCCAAATACATAGCATTTGGATCGATGCTGTTTTCACATCGGGGGAAAGGGGCGGCTATTAATTTATAGGCATCATCCGCGTAATAACTCATTCTATGTATGTTTAATTATTGTTACATCATTCACACTGCGATAATCTATGGGAAAAAGTAGACTGCGGGTCACAGATAATCGCGTTTTAGTCGATAGTGTCTCACGCGCTTCGATACACGAATCGCAGCTTCAATAACGCATCTGGTGATTGACGGCATGTGACGCGAACGTGTGAGAGAGCATCCGGATCACGCGACACAATATATATCCGCGGGCTTTCTCCCGAGAGAAATTGCCTGCTCCCGAGAGCCTCTCACCAGCTCTAATCCAAAAAGGAAATCCAGCCGTTTCGCAATTATCTCGACGCGCACAGAATAGAATTTATATACTAATTAAATTGCCAAGTGTCTTTTATACATGAAACTGAAGATATCAATAAAAATTAACGAATGTTAGTCTGAGTAAGTTTCTATATCAATTTTATTTTTATGTGAAACGCTATTCTCTTTTAGAATTAATATAATTATAATATAAATAATTAATATAAAAACTTTTATTTATTTAAAAGAAAACTGACTGGAGACTTGCATGTGAAAATAGCACTAAACAGACCGGGACCGGAAAAATAAGATTTTCCGAAATTTTCAATTTTACAATCGAAACATCTAACTATTCTAACTTTTGTCACTTGCAGTTAAGAACAGACGAGAACTCTGGAATAATATGAGAATTTCGGAAATGCAATGTTTCACAATGACAAATTATATCGAAAACACTGTTGTAAAAATTATTCTAATATCAATCATATTAATCGTGACAACTAACGTTATTCTGCAATGTATTCCGAAAGTAAAACGACCAAGTCTTCCAAGTTATAAAATGATTGAGTGCTTCTGAGAGTTATTGGCTATTTAACATCGATTTATGTGTGCACCCAAAAAAAAATATTCTGCAGTTTAGCGGTTCCTGGTTCATGCTAGAGGATTTTCCTCTGAAATAGGGCCTTAAGAAGATGTTTTAAACTGTAGAGGAATATCCTCTAATCATGAGACTCTAGATTCAAGATTGTGCAGTCCTCTTAATATTAGAGGACATTGATTTCCGATATTCACCCGAAATAAATAAAAAAAATTATTTATTTTGAAATTTTATTACTATTTTATAACTAAATTTGTTTCTTAAGATGTAGTCTATGATTATAAATATTTTCTTGTATTGGAAAAAACACTTACCTTGGTGGGATCGAACTCGGGACCTCTGGATCGTGAGCCAACTGCCTTACATGGTAGACCACTTCTTAATTTGATGTGTTATATATTGTCTACATAACCAGCGCAAATATATAATTTTCCAAAAATCATCTTAATAAA